TTCGAGGGAGGACAGTTTTGGTTTTGCAAAATCATAGTGTGTAACATTCTTGTTGAACCCCCCATACCCCTAGATATAATAAATAATTTAATTCAATGGCCGTTTATTATATTTATTGATCAGAAAGCTTATTTATAAGAATTATTTTTAAATATGAAATTATAAAACATACAAACAGACTTTACTATCAAATATAAATAAAATGTAGATATAAATATAACTATCAAATATAAATAAATGTAGATATAAATATAAATAAAAATACTATCAATCTATCCAGAAGATTGATAAATATATGAATATTTGAACCCAAATCAAACACAACATTATATTCAAATAAAAATAACCAAAGCTACTCAATCATTTTATCCTCAAAATAGTGATTTAAGTCAGTTTGTTTAAGATTTTTTTGAATAACTAACCCAATCCGTCTATTTAATCCTCTCAAAATCTTTACTTCTTCATCAACCTCACCAAATTCTGGTCCTTTCTGATACAAATACTTTAAAACAGTATCTACTGACTCTTTAGCTACTTTATTACTTATTATCTCAATTTCTTCCATTGATTCAACTTCCTCTTCGCTACTCTGTTCCTCCTGGTTTACCATTTCTATTATATCCTCATCAGTGAGGCCTGTCCAAACATTCTCATCCTCAACATGAATGTATTCATTTGCTGAAAGATTGTTACTATTTGGTAACTTTTCAAGAAGCATTTCCAAATCTTTCTCCTCATCCTCGTCATTAATACTGAAAGGTTCAGTGATTGTTCTTTCTGGAAGAATGCCAGTTTTTAACCAGCAATTATGTATTGTTTGTTGTGATACATTAGACCATGCTTCTGCTGCATTTATTAAAGCATTATATACAGTATAATCAGCAAGTTTATCTGTAGTACCATCTTGAAAGTCGTCATATGCTTTAATTCGATTTTGAACAAATAGAGCTCTATATTTACATTTAAAGGAATGGATGATCCCAGCGTCACAAGGTTGAAGAAAAGTTGTAGTATTTGGTGGAAGAAATTCAACCTTTACATTATCCAATTTTTCTGCAATTTCTTCAAGAATAATATGCACTGGTGCATTGTCAATTAGCAATAGAATATTTCTATTTTGTTTTTTCATATTGTTATTAAGTGTAAGGAGAATGTCATTAAAAATGCTAACTTGCATCCAAGCTGTTTTATTCCAATAGTAATAAACAGGCAAGTTATTGTAATTTAATTTTTTCATTGCTCGGGGTCTCTGATGTTTGTGAATGAAACTAAGCTTCATCTTCTCTGTTCCCAGAGAATTTGCAGCACAAAAAATTGAAACTCGAGATTTATCTTTTTTGTGACCTGATAGTTTAGCATGAGCCAAAACACGTGAAGGTTCCATCTTCCAAAAGAGACCAGTTTCATCACCATTCCAAATATTTTCAGGACTATAAGCACCAAGAAGTGTCTGCAATGAAATCCGTTCATTTTCTAATTGTTCAGCAGATGGTGCACTTGCAGATTCACCTTGCTTTCTGAATTGACGAAGTCCATGACGATTTTTAAAGCCAGTCAACCACCCATCTGATGAATTAAAATCACTGATTGAAAATTGGGTTGCAAAATGGTTTGCTTTCTCTTTTAAAATATTGCCAGTAATGTCTTGTTGTGCATTAAGTGCATTATCAACCCAAATATTAAGAGCTCTTTCAAGTAGTGGCCACTTAGGTCCACGAAATTTTTTCAAATTATCTTGTTCAATTGTAATAGCAAGCCAACG